CACGCAGCACCACGCACCTGTGTGCGCCGCCACCACCTACAACGTGGGGGACCCGCGGAGATTCCACTGCCTCACCATGGGTAGGGCGGGGTCTTGGGGCACCTGCGCGCCGCGCCTTCTTGGCTCTCGGGGACCAACTTTTCGCCTGCAGTGGAGGGAGTGGGAGCTTGGGGGGGCGGAGGGAGGAGGGGCTTTCGGTGTAACTGGGAAGAGGTCCAAAGAAGTTCCACGAAGGTGGAAGTTAGCTTGCCAGCCTCTCCAAGGAGTCTGGTGCGCTTCATTCCTGTTCCCTGGTCCCCAAGTGTTTCGTAATATGGGGGCCTCAGGGACATCGAACTTGAGGGCTGAGTAACTGGCTGAGATTTGGGGTGGGTGTGTTTGAACTTCAGTGTGGCACTCGGCGTGGGGTTGGCTATAGCGTTTCCACACTTTGGGCTAAGCTGGATCGCCTCTACCTCTCCGCTAGGCCAGAAAGGAGATGATCTGACTTTGCCAGCCCCCAGCCTCCCTTTAATCCTCCGACTTTACGTTCCCACACACCTAAGGCCTTTCCGCGCTTTGGGCATCTCTGTCCTTCCAGGCTAAGTAACGACGTGATAGGACGAGGGAAGGGTGAAGGATGGATACAGCTCTTTGGTTGAGCTCCCGAAGGGGTCCTTGAGAGGCATCTTGTCCAAGGGGTGGCACGGGGCTGGGGGTGGGGTGGGAGCGCGTTTCTCGAGAATGACCTCTCTGCCCTTTCTTGGCCCGCGTGCAGGGGGCTCGGACGTCAGCCAGGTACCCAATGGCAAGAGGATGAGGACGGCGTTCACTAGCACGCAGCTCCTGGAGCTGGAGCGGGAATTCTCTTCCAACATGTATCTGTCTCGACTCCGGAGGATCGAAATCGCCACGTACCTGAACCTGTCGGAGAAGCAGGTGAAGATCTGGTTCCAGAACCGCCGGGTAAAGCATAAGAAGGAAGGGAAGGGCACGCAGAGGAACAGTCACGCGGGCTGCAAGTGCGTTGGCAGCCAAGCGCACTACGCGCGCTCCGAGGACGAGGACTCCCTGTCGCCGGCCTCGGCCACCGAGGACAAGGAGATTTCGCCCTTGTGAGGGAGGGAGGGCCGCCTCCCTCTCAGCACCCGCTCCCGGGAGCCCCCCAAAGCCAATGCGGCAGGCACCCAGGGGTCAAATACGCGCTCGCTCCGTGGTCCGGTCTGCAGAAGCACGGAGCGGAGTGTTCCCAGGGCGTACCAGCCCGGCCCATCCTTCGCGTCTACTCCTTGGCCTATTTGCTTAGGTTCCACTCTCGAGAATGCGCATAGCTTTTGTTTAAATGTAAATAACCTAGATTCAACTCAGCCTTGTCATATAACAGAGAAAAAAACAGCATTGGCTTAAGTTTAGCACGGTCTGGGTTTTGTTTTTAAAGCGCTTGTCATTTTCCCTTCCCTACTGTCTTTCAGAACTGATAAGAACACCGGGTTTCCTGATGATTTCCTTTTGTGTGTTTTTTTTTTAATAAAAGTATTGATATGCAAATAATTTAGAAAAGTAAAACCTGTAGGCCTTGCTTTCTGAAAACTTGCCTGGGGAGAGTTTAAAATCCAAGTGTTGGAAGTTCATTTTTATGTGAATAGTTTTATATAAGATTATATTTATATTTATTTAAATAAATGAAACAAAATCAAGATTTTGTACTCATGGTGTTTGCTCTCACCATCTTCCCCGGTCTCCCTCTCCCCAGGAACTGGGAAAACAGTGTTTGTGAATTCAGATGGAAGTGTTGACTAAAACTGGTACCGTGGGGCACTTGGTCGAGGGAGGATTTCTGTGTAACAGAAACTTCTGCCAAGGAGACACCTTCAGTCCTGATGCCACCTACCAGGAAGTAATCCCCATCCTCAAAATAGCTAGCCTCCTCACAGTCAGTCGACAGGACAAATCACTCCATTTAGAGTGATGCTGACATTAATGACAGGCAAACCTTTTAATTTATTTAGTTAGAAAAGGTGAAAATTCCTTACCTAGAATTTCTTTTCTGTGGCAGTCCCCTCTTTCCCCCTTTTCCCTCATCTCTCTTCATACTAAAATCAGAATTATGTGAAGACATTTGAATAGTTGGAATAGTTTTAGGAAGAGCACAATCTGTCAAAGCAGGTTGTAAGCACACATGGAAACTTACAAAGAATGCGGTGACTAGAAACATGGCCATTCCTAGTTGTTCCTCCAGCTAAGAAATTATCGCTTCTCACCAATGCCAAGAAAACAAAAGGTTACACTCTCACTTTTCTAAACTAGCTCAAATGTGCCTTTGGACTCTCGTTTTTATGTGATTCTTTTCTGGTCTCCCTAACTTTATTTTTTTTTTTCTGTTCAGCCATTTCATATAGGAGGAGGACACAAATAAATCCTCCCTCTTCAGATCATGGCAATTTTAATCTATCCCATAATGGTCTCCCTAACTTAACCTGAATTGTCTCCTTTCTAGTCCCTCTCTCCCCATCACTTTGTGGAGTTAATTCTGCAAGCCTGTCCTGGAGGAGACTGGCTGAGCCCTCGGCAGCAGCCTGGCGCTGCCAGGTCCTGGCATCTGAAAGAGAATCGGAGCTGGGCGCAGGGAAACCAGGGAGTCATTTTGTGCAAGCTAACGCTAACACCCGCGGGTGTTATTTCTGATTAGTTTCTGTAAAGATTCCACCCAAGAGGTCAAACCACAGGAACTTTTTACAGATATACAGACCTCTAGGTTTGAATTGCTTTAGGTCTGTCATCACCAACCTCACCAGGTGGGCTTGGGGCTCTAAAACTGGGGTCAGGAAGCTAATTTGGGAAGGAGGAGACGGGAGGGAGGATGCGATACAGGTTTTCCCTTCAGAGCCTCTCCCTCTCTCCTTCCCTTCCTTCTCCTCCCCATGGGAGAGGGGAAAAAACCCCTTTCAGATACTCCAGGCCTGTCCATCAATTCCAATTCGGGCACTGGCCCAGAGAGGCCGGAGGGAGGACAGACCTCTCGGTGCCGAACTGAACACGGAGCGGGCGCCGCTTTGTGCCGCGACTTAGCCTGGCCCTGCACAGCGGTCATGGGCAACCAGCTCGCCCCTGGGGCAGGGAGGCGCAGCCTCTGGGTCTCTCTCGAGCGCAGCCTCCGGCCCCTCGCCCTGCCCACGGCGAAGGGGAGAGGGCGCCGGCCTGCTGTCTTTTCTGAAGATCCCGTCTCCCTCCTTCCCACTAGACAGGCCTCTCCGGGCCCCAGTACGCGGGTGGGAGGAAGTGACTGTCGAGGAGCAAAGAAGGCGCCTTTAAGGAAAGTTCCTGCTCCGGATACAGAGCCCCTGCTGCCGCTTTCTGCCCTCCTGTCCCACACTAAGCCTCGCCTGGGCGGTGGGCAGACACTGCCTCCTCCCATCCACACTTGGCCGGCCCCCTCTGTCCCCGCGCTCGGGCCTGGCCCTCCCCAAGTCCACGCCAGG